GACCAAACGACGTCCAAATGACCTGAAATTTTGCACACACATCACAAATGACATAACGAAGCTACAGCAGCTCTCAGAATTCCATTCCGACCCTCGGATCAAAATCTCACCTATCAACCGGAATTCGCCAAAATATTAACTTTGCCAATTCAAGCCAAATTCTTCCACGGACTTTCAAAATGCATTGCGATCGCGCTCCTAAGTCATAAATCACCCAACGAAGCTATCCAAATCATAAAATTTCTGATCCGAGCTCATATACAAATAAGTCAACTCTTAGTCAAACCTTTCAAATTCAAAGCTTTCAACTGAGGTTGTTCTTTCAAATTCATTTTGATTTTTCCTGAAAACCAAAACCAACGATCTACATCAGTCATAATACGTTACACAGGGCAAGTCATGCCCGGGAACTGGCGATCAAAGTGCAAAAGTTCAAAATGACCGGTCGGGTCGTTACATTACCATAATTGGGTTTTCTTTCTTGTAGAAGAAAATTATAAATCTCCCATATTTGGCTAGTCCCTTTTCTAGTAGGAAAAAATTAAGGATACTTCCTTTTCATTCAGCAGCATCCACAAGTAGCCATAGGGGACTTGAGAGTCGTGTTTAGGAGGAGAACTTTACGGGACAAGTGTTAGTGTGTCACTTGTGTTTGCCTCTTCGTGAGATTGTTCTCTCGATATCTTTGTACTCTCTTTTATTATAGTGGATTGCTTATCTCCGCCATGGACGTAGGTCAGTTGACCGAACCACGTTAAATGTTTGTGTTTCTTTTTGGTAGATTTCTCTTTTATTGTCTGATTTATCGTCGCTCAAGGTTTGCTTTGCTAGCTTTTGTATGACACCTGATTTTTTTCGGTCCTAACAGACACGTAGTTGATTGATAACTGGTTATGTGACTATGGGAATTTTCTCTTTGTGCAGTTGGCTATATCGTATTAAGCTATCAGTTACACATGAACCATTTAGACCAAGACTACCAAGACATGAAAAGCTTGTGAGTGAGTTCGACCAGTCAAACAGTTCTGCCACACCAACTCAACTAAGGTGGAAGCCGGTGGAGATACCAGAAACACCAACAGATTTCATTGATGGTTTGTACACGATATGCGGGGCTGGCAGCTCATATCTCCGGCATGGTTATGCAATTCACATGTAATTGGTATTTCAAACTTGATCTAGTCCATGTTGCACGGACTCTCCAAAAATATTGTCGTACCCGTGTCGGATCCTCAAAAAATGCACTACCTTTGGAGGGTTCGGCACACACCAGGCAACATTTTTGGAGAGTCCGAGCAACACGGGATCTAGTATTATGAGCACTATGTAACTTGGATGGAGTTTCAGATATAGTTGTTACTTGCTTATTTATGTTTTTTTCTAGTGAATATATCATTAGGATTGAGATGCGTTATGCTCTGGATAAGAGCAGCTACTCCTAGGAATTGGCTACTAATTCTGTTGCTATATGCATTCTAACCCGAGAGTAAATTGGATCTCCTTAACATGACGGACCACAACTCTGCTATCTTTTCTTGTGGATAGATAATGATCTGTGTGGAATATCAACTCAGCATAACCCCTATTAGAGATGATGTTTGTAGACACCAAATTAGGAATCAGGTTTCACTCGTAGGTTGACATGAAGAATGTCTGGCTTCTTGGTTTTGGGGTCTGGATATATTTTCTGATAATATAGCATCTTGCTATTCTAGGTACGGGTGCAATTAGATCCGAAGTTCAGTAGATCAAGTGATAGTGGACGTCTTTGATAATTACTCAGCATTATCGAAAATGCAGGTACACTGCCAACAAATCAATGGAGAACTGTGCCTTCTGCAATGCCGATGGTGATTTTCTGATAGTTCCTCAACAAGGAAGTAAGTGACAATCAGTCAGGTGTCATCCATCTGCTCTTATTCAGCCCCAAATTTGTTAACACGTGCCTTGAAACTCTAACTACTCTATTGGTCATGTAGGGCTGTGGATTACAACTGAATGCGGAAGATTGCAGGTTTCTCCTGGTGAAATAGTGATTTTGCCTCAAGGATTTCGATTTTCTGTTGACCTTCCAGATGGACCTTCACGTGGTTACGTTGCTGAAATTTTTGGAACTCATCTTCAACTTCCTGATCTGGGGCCAATAGGTGCTTTAGAAAGTGAAAAACTACTTGCTATTGAGCGAGGTGATATTGTTTACTGATGATATGCGTTTGAATATGTAATTAGGTGCAAATGGTCTGGCTGCTCCGAGGGATTTTCTAGTTCCTGTTGCGTGGTATGAAGATGGCTCCCGTCCAGGTTACGCTATTGTGCAAAAGTATGGTGGTGAACTCTTCACTGCGAAGCAAGACTTTTCTCCTTTTAATGTGGTCGCTTGGCATGGTAACTATGTTCCTTATAAGGCGGGTATTTCTCTATGTTTCAATCTCTCATAATATGGGTCAAATGCTCATATTTTATTCATTTACTTTGCTACATGGAGACTTGATATTGAGTCATCGGATGTCTCCTTAGTCTTCTCGGTCCTGACACAATATATTTCCTCAATTTGCAGTATGATTTAAGCAAGTTCTGCCCTTACAATACCGTATTGATCGACCACAGTGACCCTTCAATAAATACAGGTTGGTAAGGATTATTCAGTTACTCTGGGTTCTTATCATTTAAAATGTTCTGTCAGCTATTAATTGTCAGTTATCTGCGTGAATCTTGTTCTTAAATTTATCATCGCTCTAGTCACATTTGCCCTAGTTTCTTAAATCAATGCAGTTTTGACAGCACCAACGGATAAACCTGGTGTGGCATTACTTGACTTTGTCATCTTTCCTCCCCGGTGGTTGGTTGCTGAACATACCTTCCGTCCTCCATATTATCACCGCAATTGTATGAGCGAATTTATGGGTCTAATCACTGGTGGATATGAGGTTGTTATCTTGCTCTTGCATGAAGTCATTCCCAACTCTCGGGTTATTTCATGCGTTTAAATGAAGTTAGCTTGTTTCAGGCAAAAGCTGATGGTTTTCACCCTGGCGGAGCAAGCCTTCATAGTTGCATGACTCCTCATGGTCCTGATACCAAAACATATGAGGTAATTCCTTCTCTATTTCTCCCTTCTCTATCTAGGCGATACCATTTAGTTGGCAATATATTTTACTCATGTTGCTGCGTTTACTTTGGATCCTATGTTCTATAGGAGTCTTTAAATATTGTCAGAGATTTATATGCCATTAGAAAATATAGCTAACTTATAAGTACTCCCTCCGGTCCACTTTAATTGGTTTTTTGGCCTTCGTCCACAATATTTGATTTTTTCTGCTTCGTCCACAAAATCAAATGTGACTTGGTCTGAGGATTCATATAGCCTATCCCAACTTGCTTGGATTGAGGGATAATTGTTGTGAATTGTTTTTCTAGTTTTAAAATTTCAACAGAGAATCTTTCTAAAAGGATCTCTCTGGAAAAGCGCAATTCGTAGAGTTCAATTACGTGCAGTACATTGTCTCAGCTATTTTACCATACTAGTTAATCAAGCATTTGTGATATGTGTATCATAACCATCTCTTATTGTTATATCCAAATCATGATTATATGTGGTACTATTGTGTTCACCAAATGACCCTGCTTCCATAAAACATCGACAGGCAACCATTGCACTTGGAAATGAAGCTGGTCCACATAAAATAGCCGATACGATGGCTTTTATGTTCGAGTCTTGTCTAATACCCCGAGTCTGTCCGTGGGCGCTTGAATCTCCATTTATGGATCACGATTATTACCAATGCTGGATCGGCTTGACGTCTCACTTCTCAGGACTATCCATGAAAGCAGACAACAGCGACTTTCAGAATGGAAAACCAGTAGAAAGGTGAAATTAGAGATGCCAAAGTGACCTAGCATGTACATAAGGCGCCACGGCATGTAAAATGTAAAATAAACCATACGTATGTATTGGATCTAAAGAATAGGGTGACAATCCAAGTGCTGATACAGTGCTAAAATGAAAGCAATGTTCTACGAAATTATGACCTCTGCCCAGTAAGTAGAAATGTGCACCATGATGTTGTTGTAGCTTTTCGTGTTGTATATGTAAAGATGGAACTATCATGGACTACGTCTAGCAATTGCAAGAACAATGAATTACTATGTGACAATAACTTTACTTGTTGTAATTGTCTAACTAGGAGTAATAAACATGGGAAAAGCATCTTTTGCTATTACTGTTATTCTTCTCTTGATTGCCTCCTTCCTCACTGAATTTGGATGTTTTACTTCTCTATAGTTTGTCCCTAAAGCTTTGGTAGGGAAGGGTATCTAGAGCATTGTTACTGGATTCCCAACTTTTGCATATTTCTATTAAGAAATCTATTAAATATCAATAAATATTTAAACGTGAATTCAATTATTATTGTATATTAATTTAAGATTATTGTAAGAACTCATAAACTTCAAATATTGAATCAGCCGATTAAATAGTTTTGGTAAAAAGTTTCGAGGAGATGAAGCATGCGACAATGTTTGTTCACTTTAAACTTTAGTTTGGGTGACAAATAAAAACAGTATATTGCTATCTTTCACAATGATCAATCAACTGAAAAAATAGACATGGGAGCATAACCAAAAATGTAAATTCTAGTATTTCTTTATTTTGAGGGAAGTGCATAGATGCCACTTTTGGGACCTCTTTTTAAGGTATAGTCAAATGTCTCTGCAACAACATTCTTATATAACAACCATTCACTATAAAAGTCATGTTTTCCACATGAATCGATTTTTTAAGTTATATTTTACCTCTCTACGACAGTTTTTTTACCTATAACAACAATAACCATATTTATAGCAGAACGCTCTTTGTAAAATTACCGTATAAAATCTTTAAGATTACTAATAATAATTCTAAAAATATGCACACAATCTTTTCCATCAAATAAAGTTTCTATCTTGCATAAGATATAAGATTTGAAGATTTACACATGATATCTTTTCTATTGGACAAATTTCAAAAGATATTTAGATAGAAAATTTAACTGTTAAGCTCTTAGATTGTCTCCAAGGGAAAACTATTGGATACCTTTTTGCTCAAAATTTGGACACGCATCTTCGCCAATTCAAATGTTATATCGCTAGTGAGAGAATGAAATCTACGAAAGAAGCTACAATTACAAAGTTCTTCCATCAATCTTGAAAGAATTTATTTTTCTAGGTAGCTTTAAAATATCTGCCTTAGAGTTTAAATCTTTGTACATTTAGTTATGAATTTATTAATAATGTATTAGTTTTCTTCAATATTTAAATAGTGAAATATGCATATCTTTTGAGATTTTAAATTTAAATAATTTCTTATATTTTATATGTAGCATTAATAAAGAAAAAATAATTACTTTTTGGATAATTTTTATCTATCAACTAAAAAGTATTTGAACGTCAAATGTTGTTATAGGTGTATAAAATTCATTCACTATAAAAGTAAAAAAAATATCAGAACAAACAAGGTGTTTACCCGCAAAATGGTACAGTTGAATTTATAGCGTGGTTTATAGATAAGTGAATCGATTTGATCCGAAAATGATAAAGAAATAAGAACAAAAATAAGATTAGAGATTGAAATTAGAGAAAATAGCAAGCCTGATTCTGAACTCGGTCTTTCCTAGGGCAAAAGCAAAAGCAATGATAAAACAATGACAAAATTCTTTGAATTGAGCATAAAACAGTATGCTATAGCTTTTGTGTACATAATATTTTTTGTCTCTATAAGAATTGCCAATCTGATATTTATAGTTACCTAAGGAGACAAGATCCTAAAATCAAGCACCTCTTGAATGAGATTAAAAAGGCCATTGATGGATTCATAACGGCCGGCTTTGAATACAAATATTCTTTGTAACGTCTGCTCATTAAATGTTATCCGATGTCAAGCCTTTGAATCTTTACCATCGGTTGTGCTTCCCTCGGGATCCATCCTGTACTGGTTACGCACTTCGTAATCGGTGTCGATTATTTGCCGATACAACCTTTGTCTGTTCTTGGTTCCACGTGTCACCTCGCTATTTAGCCACTTGTTATCAACTAATTTTACCCCATACAGATAGTCCCCCTACTTTTCGGTGAGGCAACTCAGTATTAATCGGGAAGTAGATCAGTATTCATTTCTTAGCCGAAAAGTTCCTGAACGGTCTCTGACATTTGAAGGGACGCACGTCTTCTTGCATTTAAGGCTCTGAACACGTGTTTTTCCCATGATTCAGCAAGTATTTTCACTGGGGTTTCGAGGTAATCATGACCACGATTTTTGCTGTCTATATCTTCTTCACTACTCATCATTTTTACTTCTTCACTTTTACTACTCTCACAATCTTTCTCTTCCTCTGAATTTCCTTAGAGCTTTTTTATAACATTCAACTTTCTCAGCAAGAATATTTTTACCGATCATTTACCATCATGTCTTCTTATACTGCTTCCTACGAAAATACTGGTCTTTTCTTTGGTCGAGGCCCGAAGAAAAATACAGGCTTAGCCGTTTTAGAACCATCAATAATTGGTGAACCGGCAGATCCATTTGCAACCCCTTTGGAAATATTACCTGAATGGTATTTCTTTTTTGTATTTCAAATACTCCGTATAGTGCCTAATAAACTATTGGGGGTTCTTTTAATGGTTTCAGTAGCCAAAGAGGTTGACGTTGAGTCTGAACCTCCAACTGTTAACACCATTATACCACTCCATCTTAGCACCTCATATGATATTCAATAACAAACCGCATCTGCAAACTCTCAAAGTTGCATGTTTTGGCCAGTTTATAGGTAACCCTCCTTCATTCGTCCTTCTAGTATCCCAAATGTGAAGGAGGAGTGCAACTGCTTCAATGTCGAAATTCTCGTCCCAGATATGGTAGAGCGAGTTACCTACTTCGGAGAGGGTTTTATGTATACCTATACATATCCTTTTGCTTTGGGTCCCTTTTCCTTCGGGTCGAGTGAAGGGCTCAACCCAATAATTTTAGAATTTTTCCACCGGTACCAGGTCTTCTTAGCACAAGTAGGCCCATCTATATGGCAAACGGTGGCCTGCCTTCGTCAATTGTGCACTGAGATTGGGGAAACCCTAACTCTTGCACATATGATGAACCTTTACTTCCCTAAGATTTTCCGTGGGGGGAGTGCTAAACTTTAGTAAACGTGGTCACCATGCCCATCTTACCAATGTAGACGATGACAACGATCATGGATGGATGGAACAGTTCATTGTTATTGCTACCAGGGACATTATCCCGATCACAACTCCAGCTTTCCTCGAGTTGTGTAATATTTTTCGTAAGTCTTTAGATATTTGTTTCTTTTTTTCGTAAAAATATAATTTCTTGTTTTCCTGATTTCTCTTTTTTGGCTTCCTTCATTTCAGCTACTTGCTGGAACCACCATGGGTTTATGGTCTGGACCGATGGGTTCAGAAAATTCTGGATATTACAACTCCGGAATCTGGTCGGTGGAAAGAAATGACTCCCAAGTACGAGTGGGAGATCTAAGAACCATGGTGAGTAAAATTCCCCTCTTCCCCTTTTTTCTTTTATATCGGTAGTTTAAGGGCAATGTACTTAAGCATCTTTTTACTTACGTAGGGATCCCGAGGGATTCCATCATTTGCCCCGATATCTACGCCTTAGATGACCCCGAGGAGGCATAAGGGTGTTGTAGCATGCCCCTGACCGAAGTAGAGCTCATGGATCTGTCCGAGCCTCTAGGTACCTCGTCTCGGAGTCCCCAGTCCCAGTCTAAGAACAAGAAATCGAAGAGAAGATATTCCTCCTTGGCTGGGACCCAAGAGAAGAGAGACAAAATACCATCGAGCCGGCCACAGTGGTCCTCAATGACGAAGGGAAAACCAGTGATGAAGAGGCTTCCCATTGTCACACCTCCTTTTTACCCGCGCCCGCAAAGGGACGCAGAGGGAGTTTTTCCAATTAAAGGACAATCGAAACGGGATTTATTATTTAAAAATTCAGAGTCGCCACTTGGAAATATTTTATGGTATCCCAAGTCACCGGTTCAAATGCCGAATCGAGGAAAAGATTGACTCTGTTTTACAGTCCGCGAATACAGAAATCTGGGTAAGGAATTCTGTTAACCCAGGAGAAGGTGTTAGGCATTCCTGAGTTCCGTGGTTCTAGCACGGTCGCTCAACTGTCATATTCGGCTTAATTATCTGATTTTTATATATGTTTAAACCCATGTGCAAATTTTAACTTTTAACCGTTTTTATTAATTTTTTTTTAAAGAAGATTGCAACGTTATTAAAACACGTCTCGAACCACGTCACATAAATGCACC